TCATTTACAATTGTTGTCTGTACAATTATAAAGTTTGACGTGAAAATGAAACATATTGAGTATGATCTATCAATGATTATTGAGTAGTTCACACATTTTATAGACCCACAATACTCTCTGTTTCAATTTTTGTTCCACGGTCATTGTATGCAATGTGATTGTTTAACGCTCGACGGATTGATTGCTCCTGACACAACCACGTAAAATTGACAATAACTACTAATAAGTGTTTCAACAACAAACCATGCAACACGAGACACCAACTATTTTTGATTTTATTTACATTCATGACATAATAAGTCATGTTTAGGTATTCTAGTATCCGGAATTGCAGTGGCTAACGTCTTAAGGTGTTAAGAAATGCTTCGAACTTAACACCTTATGTCCCGCACTAACTCGTGTTAAAATTAAAATTCTTCCTTCTAGTAAATTCACCCTCACGATGCACCAATGCCCGGGTAAACATGCAAAATAGGGGGTGTGCAATAATGTAAAAGTGTGTTATTTTATTTTTAAACTATACTTGAATATAAATTTGTGGGAAGTGTTTAAAGAGATCCTTATATTATTTCGTACATGTGTGTTGATCATATACGGAAAAAGTAATGGTGTCACTAAGTACATTTACTTTTAAAACACATTCAATCAAGGCATTTTGAGCCACTATGATGGTTCGTTTTCTAAATAAATTCACATAATTGATTTTTTTTTATAAAAGCACATATGCATTTTCAAAATATACAAATAAAAGTATAAAAATGTTAAAAATAATGTCAAAATTGATAAATACTAAATCCGTTTTCAAATAAATAAAATACATGAAAACCTACATCATATAGAATTACAATGCAAAATTCTTAAAAAGTAGAATATACGAATAATTAGAAAAGAGCGAATAAAATATAGATTTAATTTAAAAAATATCCCTTCCATCAATGTCTTTTGAATTATTTCTTTTTGTCCAACCTACAATTATAAAATTACGATATGTTTTTTTCAACCAATTTTTGGTGAAATAAATTGTTACAAAATAATACTACCAACTTGAGCAATAATATATATTTATTGATATGGGAATAAATGAATGTGAAAACCTTCTTACATCCACATTACTTTTATATATGAAATTCCATTACAATCTTTTAGGAATTTCGAAACAATCAATAAGCTTCATTATGTCCACCACCCATTTCAACCAATAAGGTTTAAGTATTTGACTATTCCCACCACCTATTTCAACCAATAAGGTTTAAGTATTTGACTAATCTCACCACCCATTTCAACCAATAGAAAAATAGTATTTTAATCAAAATAAAGTATCCAATAAAACTTAAAATAAAACTTGATGTTGACATTTATTGGAGGGAACACTATTCCTCAAACATCTTTTGCTTTTATATTAGAATAGATAAGATTTAAGTATTTGACTATTCCCACCACTCATTTCAACCAATAAGGTTTAAGTATTTGACTATTCCCACCACCTATTTCAACCAATAAGGTTCAAGTATTTGACTATTCCCACCACCCATTTCAACCAATAAAAAATTAGTATTTTAATCAAAATAAAGTATCCAATAAAAATTAAAATAAAACTTGATGCTGACATTTCTTGGGGGGAACATTATTCCTCAACGTTCTTTTGCTTTTGTATTAGAATAGATAATGTTTAATTATTTGACTATTGCCACCACCCATTTCAACCAATAAGGTTTAAGTATTTGACTATTACCACCACCCATTTCAACCAATAGAAATTTGGTATTTTAATCAAAATAATGTATCCAATAAAAATTAAAATAAAACTTGATGTTGACATTTCTTGGGGGAACACCATTCCTCAAACTTCTTTTGCTTTTATATTAGAATAGATAAGGTTTAAGTATTTTACTATTCCCACCATCCATTTCAACCAATAGAAAATTAGTATTTTAATCAAAATAAAGTATCCAATAAAAATGAAAATAACACTTGATGTTGATATTTCTTAGAGGGAACACTATTGTTCAAAATTCTTTTGCTTTTATATTAGAATAGATAAGGTTTAAGTATTTGACTATTCCCACCACCCATTTCAACCAATAGAAAATTAGTATTTAAATCAAAATAAAGTATCCAATAAAAATTAAAATAAAACTTGATATTCACATTTTTTGGAGGGAACACTATTATTCCTCAAATTTCTTTTGCTTTTATATTAGAATAGATAAGGTTTAAGTATTTGACTATTCCCACCACCCATTTCAACCAATAGAAAATTAGTATTTTAATCAAAATAAAGTATCAAATAAAAAATAAAATAAAACTTGATGTTGACATTTTTTGGAGGGAACACTATTTCTCAAACTTCTTTTGCTTTTATATAAAAATAGATTTCTTGGAGGGAACACTATTCCTCAAACTTCTTTTGCTTTTATATAAGAATAGATAAGGTTTAAGTATTTGACTATTTTCACCACCCATTTCAACCAATAGAAAATTAGTATTTTAATCAAAATAAAGTATCTAATAAAAATTAAAATAAAACTTGATGTTGACATTTCTTGGAGGGAATACTATTCCTCAAACTTCTTTTGCTTTTATATTAGAATAAATAGATAAGGTTCAAGTATTTGACTATTCCCACCACTCATTTCAACCAAAAGAAAATTAGTATTTTAATCAAAATAAAGTATCCAAAAAAAATTAAAATAAAACTTGATGTTGACATTTTTGGAGGTAACACTATTCCTCTAACTTCATTTGCTTTTATATTAGAATAGATAAGGTTTAAGTATTTGACTATTCACACCACTCATTTCAACCAATAGAAAATTAGTATTTTAATCAAAATAAAGTATCGAATAAAAATTAAAATAAAACTTGATGTTGACATTTCTTGTAGGGAACACTATTCCTCAAACTTCTTTTGCTTTTATATTATAATAAATAGATAAGGTTTAAGTATTTGTCTATTCCCACCACCCATTTCAACCAATAGAAAATTAGTATTGTAATCAAATTAAGTGTCCAATAAAAATTAAAATAAAACTTGATGTTGACATTTTTAGAGAGAACACTATTCCTCAAACTTCTTTTGCTTTTATATTAGAATAGATAAGGTTTAAGTATTTGACTATTCCCACCACCCATTTCAACCAATAGAAAATTACTCCCTCCGTCCCAATTTGTAAGATATTTTACGGTTTACGATGTTTGACCGACGATAAAGCAAATTAATCCCTGTCAACACTCAAATTAGTTTTAGAAAATAAAATTGACATATTCAGAAACTACATTAAAACCGCTATAAAACCTACAAAAAATAATTCAAATTTCATAAACTTTTGTTATATAAAGTAAAAGATTAAAAATGATTTATGTTGACCATGTGAATAGTAAATGTATCTTACAATTTGGGACTGAGGGAGTAATATTTTAATCGAAATAAAGTATCCAATAAAAATTAAAATAAAACTTGATGTTGACATTTCTCGGAGGGAACACTATTCCTCAAACTTCTTTTGCTTTTATATTAGAATAGATAAGATTTAAGTATTTGACTATTCCCACCACCCATTTTAACCAATAGAAAATTAGTATTTTAATCAAAATAAAGTATCTAATAAAAATTAAAATGAAACTCAATATATACATTTCTTGGAGGGAACACTATTGCTCAAACCTCTTTTGCTTTAATATTAGAATAGATAGATAAGGTTTAAGTATTTGGCTATACCCACCACACATTTCAACCAATAGAAAATTAGTATTTTAATCAAAATAAAGTATCAATTAAAAATCTATTCTAATATAAAAGCAAAAGAATTTTGAGGAATAGTGTTCCCTCCAATAAATGTCAACATCAAGTTTTATTTTCATTTTTATTGGATACTTTATTTTGATTAAAATACTAATTTTTTATTGGTTGAAATGGGTGGTGAGAATAGTCAAATACTTAAACCTTATCTATTCTAATATAAAGCAAAAGAAGTTTGAGGAATAGTGTTCCCCCCAAAAAAATGTCATCATCGAGTTTTATTTTAATTTTTATTGGATACTTTATTTTGATTAAAATACTAATTTTCTATTGGTTGAAATGGGTGGTGGTAATAGTCAAATAGTTAAACCTTATTGGTTGAAATAGGTGCTGGGAATAGTCAAATACTTTAAACCTTATCTATTCTAATACAAAAGCAAAAGAAGGTTGAGGAATAGTGTGAGAGAAAATTGTTAGCAAACTTATCTTCTGATACATTGAAGTACTACATGTGAGAGAGAAAATTCTTTCGCTCAATTATTAGCAAGCTTATTTTCTTATACATAAAATAACTACATATGAGAGACAAAATTCTTGTACTTAATTGTTAGGCTTATCTTATCCTTAAAAGAACTACATATGAGAGAGTTTTCCCGCCTAATAACTAAATGCACTACATATCTTATACTTAAAAGCACTAAATATGAGAGCGAGATTTTTCCCCGCTCAATTATTAGCAAATTTATCTTCTAATCTTATACTTAACAACACTACGTATGAGTGAGAGAAAGAGTTTTCCCGCACAATTATTAGCAAAATTATTTTCTAATAATAACTAAAAGCATTACATATGAGAGAGAAAATTTTCCCGCTCAATTTGTATGCTCAATTGTTAGCAAACTTATCTTCTGATACATTGAAGCACTACATGTGAGAGAGAAAAATCTCTCGCTCAATTATTAGCAAGCTTATTTTCTTATACACAAAATTCATATTTTTTAAAAATTTTATATATACAATATTGGTGTATATAAATATAAATAAGCTTATATACTTAAAAGCACCACATATGAGTGAGATGATGTCATCAATTGATAGTGTGATTTGAATCACTAAGTACACATAAATTTGAAAGAAAAATTCTGAGACCGTGCATCGCACGGGTGAGTTTACTAGTTAAAATAAAATTTGATGTTGACATTTCTTGGAGGGAACATTATTCCTCAAACTTCTTTTGTTTTTATATTATAATAGATTAAAGAAAAAAAGTAAAGAGGGTAATTTTGCCAATGAAGGTTACATGAAGTATTTCCCTGGGTGCAAGAAGCAATCCCTACTTCTAACCTAGAGCATTCTCCCTCCAGAGCTTCTCTTCTCCGACCATCATCTGGGCGACGCTTGGCTTCTCCAACCATCATCTGGGCGACGCTTGGCTTCTCCGAGCTTCTCCAACCATCATTTCTGTGCGACGCTTGACTTCTCCAGCGAGAGCTTCTCCAAACATTATCTCTGTGAGAGGCAACCCTTTAGGCCGGCGCTTGGCTTCTCCAACCATCGACTCTTGGGCGACGCTTCTCTTCTACAGCCCACAAAAACTACCGTCTTCAATTCCAAGGTATACACTGAACTTGTGAGTTTGTTGATTTGCTCTTTTGTTATGTGATTATTATTACTCCAATTATTGTGTCTGGTCTTCGTTTTTTTGCAAATAATTTCTTTGGGTTACTCATAAGCTTGCTTGTGATTTTCACCATTTTTTACTTTCACCTTCTAATCAGATTAATTTCTATGGATTTGTTGAATGATTTTGAGTTAATTTTGTCTGAAACGTATTCATATGATGAAAGTATTCATGAAGGGTGCAATATATATCACTAGTTTTGTTTGATATTGATGAATTCATATAATGTAATGGGAAAGGTTATCCCATTTTATATCCACTTTGATGAATTGAGATTGCTGTGAACTATAATTTTGAACTTACATTGCTAATATTATGTTACATTGATGAATCGTCTTTGATGTTAATGTGCTTAAATATTCGAACTTAAATCAAATATGGATGTGATTTACCAAAAATCTCAATAGTTAGTTCTACATAATTTTAAAATTAAAATAGTAATATAATCATATTTTTACATATATTTAACAATTAAGTAAAATATTTTTATATCTAAAAATTTAATGCTTTAATATTAAGAAAAATTAAAAATTGTAAATTTATACGGAGTAATTAATTGTATTTGGACAATGTAATTATATTTTAAAGTCATATAAATGTATATTATTGGATGCCAAAAGCAATAGTGTGTTTCTAATATAGGATTAATAGGATATGCCCTTTTGGTGAATTTACACCAAAATCAGTTTGCAGGAGCAGCTTATCCAAACACTCTAAATTGATTCTCTATCACATACAATAAAATCATTACCAAAACACTTTAGACAAAATCACTTTTTCATACAGCAGAAAATTCTGATTCTGCTTCTTCTTTAAAAATAGAAGCAGAAGCAGAATCAGTTCCAAACATCCCTTAAATAGACGGTATGAGTCGTATTGCTGTGAAACTGCAACCCGGGGTTTCTATTTCGCCGCTATATCTGCCCCAGTTCCTCACCGTTTTCCAATTTCACCCCGTAAGCGTTCTATCCCGCTTTCCTCCATATTGATCTCTTTCATGTGATTCTTTCCTCTTCCTTTGAACCTTTTCCGGGTTTTCATTGTTGTTAGTGAAAAGTTGAGTGCTGTCTCAATCCAGAGCCAGTTTTATTACTTTACTTGTCTCTTAATCATTTGGTTTGGGTTTTTGGAAGCTAGGCAGGCACTTTCAGGTCAACATCTAGTATATCTCTTGCTGCGGGAAAATTAACCGTAAAGCCAACTTCAGCAATGACAGATGTAAGTTCAGAAAAGCCATCGTGGAATCTTTGTAAAAAATTATTACCTCATATTAGACTATCAGCAATGTGTCCTGACTGGCTTGAGGATTTATTAATATGATGAATACAGTGGTTGTGGTTGTTGTTGTTATTCTTATTATTATTTTGAAGGCACCTGGTAGTGTTAAAGAACAGTTAGCTAGATTATTTGAAGTATCACTTAGAGCAACATTTCCAGATGAATCAGATGTACAGCCTCAGATTGCTATTTGCAACAATTCCAGATTTGGAGACTATCAATGGTATGGTTTACAACCCTATTTCATTTTAAGTATCTTGTATTTAATCACTCTATTTTCTCATATTGAAAACAGAATGACACTACGCACATTTAAGGTCATGCATCAGCTGTTAGTTGAACTCTGAGCTCTTTTAGTGCTCGGAGTGCTTTGTGCTATTTATTTTCTACAGTTGCTAATTAAGCATGTTCAACTTTGGGTAGTAACAATGCCATGGGCTTATGGGCTAAAATTAGAAGCACAAATACTAACTTCAAAGGTCCTCAACCTGTTGGACAGGTAATTACTCCGATACCTGTTTGGTTGGTTGATTGCCTTTCTCCTACACTGTGGGCATAACTTCCTTTAACGACCAAACGGTTTATCATTTGCAGGCCATTATGTGTAATCTTCCCCAATCTGATATAATAGAAAAGTGCAGCATCGCTGGGCCTGGTTTTGTCAATGTAGTATTATCCAGACAATGGATTGCTCAGGTTGTTACTATTTTAGGTTGAGTTGTTGATTCCCTGGGAATATTACAATCATATCATTACATCATCATAACTTCTTCTGCAGAGTATCCAAAAGATGCTCATAGATGGCATTGAGACATGGGCTCCAAAGCTTCCTGTCAAAAAGATTATTGTTGACTTCTCATCACCAAACATAGCTAAGGAGATGCATGTTGGCCATCTGAGATCTACGATAATTGGAGACACCTTGGCTCGTATGCTCGAGTTCTCTAATGTTGAAGTTCTTAGAAGAAATCATGTTGGTGACTGGGGTACACAGGTATATTCGCGTTTCATCTTATTCATGGATGCATTTCGTGGGGACATTCATCTTTCTAGCTTATGTATGTTGCAATCAATGATGAGTTGTAATATGCTATTCACTGTTGCAGTTTGGTATGCTGATCACATTCCTCTTTGAAAAATTTCCGAACTGGGAAGCTGCTAGTGCTCAAGCCATTGGTGATTTAGAGGTAAATGGTGAATCTTTAGTTTGTTCTGCCTTTCGGTGACTCACATTGATTAGCAAGGCCAACTATAATGCTGAAACTTCCCTTATTGACCTAAGTTTCTGTTTTCTAGGAATTTTATAAGGACTCTAAAAAAAGATTTGACAGTGATCCTGTGTTCAAGGAGAGGGCTCAAAGGGCTGTAGTCAGTCTCCAGGTGAACATTTTTACGCAGTTGCATTATGGAGACACTACATAGACAACATGTTATTTAAAAGCTTGCATAACCTGCTGAATAATTTCTTCTTTTCTCAAACCCAGATACAATTAATAGAGAAGTATTATTTGGAAGATCTATCTGTATTTTTTTCCAAGCCTTGTGAACCACACAGGTCCAGTAGCAAAGTAGTAATAATAAAAGGGCAGCTTAGTGCTCATCTTGGTTTTAAAAGGCGCGAAGCGGCCTGAGGTGTTTTAGGTCAATTTACCTGAGGCGTGTGGCATCGTTTGCAATTGCGCAATGCCATAACGCCTTATGGCGCGCCTCGGTAGTTTTGAAGTCTATGGCGTAAAATTGCATTGCAAAAGGCGTTCAGGTTTGTAGCGTAAGTTTTTTGGGTTATTGCGTACGCAATATAACTTGCGCAATGAAGCGCAATGAGGCGTACGTTATATTCTGGATGGGTCAATTTTTTATTTTGTCAGCCGGGCCTAGTTTTAGAACTTTTAGTAACATAAGACCGACATACCACCGCATAGGGTATTCTTATATTCAACTATTCGTATATAAAACCAGCTCTAGCGCAATTCCTTCTTACGCAAAAAGCCAAAGCCGCAGCAGTTAACAAACCAGTTCTTTCCAGTTTCCACTTTCCATCGCCTCTTTCCGTTTGGTCGCTTCTTCCAAGAATCTAAAGTACTGTGTTTTTTTCTGTTTGGCATAGGGTATAATTTTCTTCTTGTTAATTTTCTACTTAGTAATACTTCATGTTAATTCCCAGCTTGTTAATGTTATTTTTGCTTATTCGTTTTGGTATATAGTATATACTGCTTCTCCGTTTGATGCTTATTTGCTTTTTGTTTATGTTATTTTTGCTTATTTCAACTTAACATCATCAATATTTGATTTCAGTTATAATATTTAATGATAACTCCAACTTTGATGTAATATTAATGTTCTGTTTAGTTTTCAGTTTGATGTTTTCTGTTATAATGTTAAGTTTAGTGTTAATTAGCAGCAGTTAAGTTTATCCGTTTAATGTTTTCAGTTTAATTTAGCTTCTCCATTTAATGTTCTATTAATTTTTCAGTTTGATGTTTTCAGTTAAATTTAGCTACCTCGTTTAATGTTAATTTAGCAGCAGTTAAGTTTCTGCATATTATTATATTTATATGAAGAAAAATTAACTGCCGCTAAATTAACATTAAACGGGGTAGCTAAATTTATCTGAAAACATCAAACTGAAAAATTAATATACTAATATGCAGAAACTTAACTGCTGCTAAATTAACATATATATATAGACACACACACACGCCTCAGCTATACGCCTCATTGCGCAATGAGGCTTACGCAATATGCAATTCTAAAAATCCGCCATGATTACGCAATACGCAATTACGAACATTGGCGTGTGGTGAAGGCGCGTGCCTTACGGAACTTAACAATATAACTCTGGTAAATTATATTTGTACTACTTCTACATGAAGATTTCTTCCAAAGAAATGATACAAAAACATCCAAGCCTTGGTCCTAAAGTCACGAAAATACCAAAATTAGTCACAAAGAATATATTTATTCAAACAGTAGCATGAAACATGTTAAATGCCTATTCATACTGTAATTAAAAAGCAAAGTAGCAAACTCACAAGCGAAGTGGTGAACTCATGGGCCTGCAATTCATCATTGTCGTTAACCTCATTCTCCAGAGTAATTTTTTAATATTTTGTTAATAGTAATTTTTAAACAATTAATAGAAATTTAATAATAAAACCTTATACAATCAATTGTTAATAATTATGAACTAAGGCGGAAGGGCTTAGCTATGTGCTAGAGTTTGGTTGTTCGGCGGCTTGGTTGTCCGAGGTTATGTAGATGGTGTCTCATTTTTTCAGCGTTGCAACGGCCGTCAAGACTCAAGACTAGGGATCAAAAGCGCTAAGGCTTTGGAACCGATTGTTGGTCTTCACCGTTTGTTTCATCGCTTGTATTGTTTCTTAGTGCCAAAGGTAGTTTGTCCATCGACATCATTGTAATAACGAAGGAATGGTAGGGAAAATAACGGATAAGGAGTAAGGTGCAATGAATGATCGGGCCGACGATCGTTTGGTCTTGGAGGAAGGTGCAATGCAAGTGTTGTTGGTTAGTCCTCCTAAACCGTTGCCATGAAATGAATGAGTGGCTAGGGATCGGAAGATGATGATTAAAGCTTGGTTTTGGCCACAAACAGTTTGTTGGTTTATTTTTGTTTGAGGTTTTCATTTTAGTTGTTAAACAATTTTCCTTGTTTTTGTGACACTCTTGAGATGTCTAGTTTAGCTATGGCAGGAGGTATTGATAATCATAAGGCCATTAATAGCTTTGAAGTTCCCGTATGTTTAGTGAAAAGTTTCACTCAGTTTTAGTTAAATTTTTATATTCCTGATTAGGGGCTAAGAGGTTCCTTTGACTATTGAGTCTAGTGAAGTGGTGAAGAGTATGACGACCTTAAAGGTTAAAAAGAACTCTATGTTGCCCGTTTGGTAGTCAGGATTTGCGGCATCGAGCTGCTTCTTTGGAGGTGGCCGTCTTATAGGGCGTTTCTTGAGTCTAGATGAAGTTTTTTGGATGATAAGGGGTGGATTTGAGCTTTTGGATGGTTGTAACTCTTGGTCAATTTCATTATTAATACTCCCTCCGTCCCGTTGGAAGGTTCTCATAGCAAAACGGCACGGTTATTTAGACAAAAATTATATAAAGTACTTCAAATATATTTTGAGAAATAATTTTAATAGGTATATATTATAATGTAGTTAGTATTGATAATTGTGATGTTATAAATGTATTATTTTTAATATTTAATGATTAATTTGTCACTTAAGATTGTTAATTGTTTCCAAAAATGGAAATGAGAACCTTTTAACGGGACGTTCAAAAAAGGAAAGTGGGAACCTTCTAGCGGGACGTAGGGAATACAAGTTTAGCGTTCTCCGTTAAAAAAATAATTATAAACTGTCATATATAATTGTTATATAATATACTACTCCATACGAAATAATCCACAATTAGCAGTAATTTTAAATAATGTCACATAATAAACTCTTAATTATAATATTATTTGAGCAACTAATAGTCATCATCATTCATCATCATCATTACCCCAACGCCGCAAAGGCTCCCACCTACTGTGGGGTAAGGGGGAGTCGGATGTACGCATCCTTACCCTTGTACTAAAGCTAGCACAGAAGAACGGTTTGCAGATGATCGATGGTGAAAATTGCGTCGAAAATTGTATGGACAGACTTCATAACAAAGAAGTGCAGACAGTTTAGTGAGCCATGTTGCTTTATTCCATCGTATTCCCAAGCCGCAAAATAGTGAATCTTTTGCTCCATTGCAACTAACAAAATTGTTTTGATAAACTATTACTACCTCCGGCCCACTAAGATTGGGACAACAGAAGGTGACAAAGTTATTAAGAAAAGTGAGTTTGTGTGGTTGGTATTAAATTGATAAAGTCAAAATAAAGTTAAAATGATTTAGAGCCACACAAACTATACCAAATTTGGTATGAGACGATCTTAGTGGGATTTCCAAGGAAAGGTAAAATAGGACAATCTTAGCGGGACGGAGGGACTATATAATAAGTTTTTAATAATAATAATAAACTATCTCTCATATACTCCCTCCGGTCCTTAATTAAGTTTACATTTTCCTTTTTGGGCCGTCCCATATTAAACTTTACACTTCCTTATTTGTCTTGTTTGGCAAACAAATCTACACCAAATAGTGCAAAACAGTGTCAAACAGTGCCAAACAGTGTACTCTACAGTAAAGTCAAATTTATTTCCTTAATATGTGTGAAGTCAAAGTGTAAAGTTTAATAAGGACCGGAGGGAGTATAAATCTTATATAATAAACTACTACACATAAAATAGGACACAATTTATAGTAATTTTTAATAATTTATTATAAATAAAAGGTTAATACTGATTTTTAAATAATTAATAGTATTTGTTTAAATAAAAAGTTATGTAATAAATTGTGAACCATAATAAACTGTTGTCATACATAACTGTAATGTAATAAACTATCATATAACACGCGATAAATATTAATTTTTTATTAAACCGGTAAAGGTAAAAATTTAAACAATCTAATTGTAGAAACCCTCTTTTATTAATATTTAGAAGGAAAAATTGACAAGAATAATCTCACCTTTCACTCGTCTTCTCGTAATAATCCCACCTTTATGTAATCCAAGAATAATCCCACCTTTGCACCCATCTTTCTTTCCAACCCTGAACTGTTGCTGACCTACTATACCAGGTTTTTTACCATTTCTTTGAAAACCTTATATAAATAATCTCACTATTTACAAATCTGCTCAAAACGGTCTCATGTTTCATTTTTCCTTTTTCTCCCTAAAATTTTTCTTGTTCTTTTTCTTTATATTCATCCCTAGACACTTTTTATTCCTTTTTCTATCCTTTTGTTCTTATTTCTTTTCCATTTTTATTGTTCTATTTCTTACTCTATTAGGAGATTTTTTTTTGTAAAATTTGTCATCAAAATAGCTCTTTTTTGTCGTTTTCTTTTTCTTTCCATATTTTATTTCATTTCCATTTTTATGAATTTCTTCTTAATCATTCTCTTCTATTACATATCTTTTTCTCACATTACTTTTTATTATGATTTCTTTTTATTTTCACTTTTCCACTTTTACATTTTCACTTTTAAAATGTGATCTTTAATAGAAGAGAATGATTAAGAAGAAAAACATAAAAAGGGAAATGAAATAAAAATACGGAAAGAAAAAGAAAACGACAAAAAAGAGCTATTTTGAAGAGAAATTGTACAAAAAAATCTCTCCTAATAGAGTAAGAAATTGAATAATAAAAATGGAAAAGAAATAAGAACAAAATGATAGAAAAAGTAATACAAAAATGTCTAGGGATGAAAATAAAGAAAGAAAATTTTTAGGGAGAAAAAAGAAAAAATGAAACATGGGACCGTTTTGAGCAGATTTGGGAAGGGTGGGATTGTTTATATAAGGTTTTCAAAGAAAGGGTAAAAACCCTGGTATAGTTGGTCATCAACAGGTGAGGGGCCAACGAAAGAAGATGGGGTGCAAAAGTGAGATTATTCTGAGATTACATTAAAGTGGGATTATTATGAGAAGACCGGTGAAGATGGGATTATTCTTTTCAATTTTCCTATTTAAAATTGATAAGCTAATCTGATTTGGTTTCGGGCAGATGATTAATGGTTATATATTTAAATAATTGAAACTGTTCGGCATATTTAAAAAATTTAGATAAAAAAGAAGAAAGAGTTAAAGGAAACAAAAATAAAGCGGGAAGATTGTTAAAATAGGGAAGGCGGAAGAATAAAGGTGGAGAATCACCAAATGTCTCTCAGGGATAAGTCGATTAGTCGACACCCATTCCAGAGGCGCCATAGGTGGATCACGGATGCCTCCCAGAAGCGCAGAAAGCAGCACAAAGCGAGGGACGCATATGGGTTTCTACTGTGTTTGGGATTAATTGATGCGATATCCCTAACGCCTAGCGGCGCCTAGTGCCTTTTTTAAACTAAGGTGCTCATTGGTGTTACTGCTTGGCGAGGGTCTGGGAAGGGTCACACCGCACCGGTGTATAGGCCTCTATAGGGTGCAAGCTTATATTACAGTAGCTGTTAACTTTTTATTAATTAAAGATAAAACAATGATTAAACATATAACTTGTCATTTCACTTTTTCCTACTATGTCATTATGGTGCGGAACTATCTATATTAGGTGATGGTTTGTGGGTTATATCCTTTTCATTGTTAACAGGGTGGGGACCAAGATTACAGAAAAGCATGGGCACAAATCTGTGAAATTAGTCGGAAAGAATTTCAAATGATCTATGATCGACTTGGAGTACACTTGGAAGAGATGGTACCACTCTGAGCTTTAATTGTTGTCGAAATTGTTATTTGCAATATATTATGTATTTCTGTTTCAATAAACCAAATGAAACTTAATGACTATGTGGCGCATATTGCGGTTTACTGGTTTCTGTTCAGGGAGAAAGCTTCTACAATCCTTTTATTCCTGAGGTAATAGAGATCTTAAATAAAAAAGGCTTGGTTGAAGAAAGTGATGGGGCTCGTGTCATCTTCATCGAAGGGAAAAGCTATCCACTTATTGTTGTAAAGAGCGATGGGGGTTATAACTACTCTTCAACTGATCTTGCTGCCATATGGTAAGCGTAATTGGGATGTTTCTTTTGCCAAATGTGATTCTTTTGCCAAATGTGATTTAACACATTATTTTTAACAATATGGATTTTTTTGTATGGCTGTTTGTGTTGGCGTCTTCTCAGTTATGCTGATCACTGTATCTACAACTTTTTCTTAGTGCTGTCATTAAAATGTAATGCGGTTTACTGGTTGACTGTAAATAGGAATTGATTTATGCTGTAAATAACAAAAAAAGTTGAGTATATCAGAATGAGTATCTTTTTAGGAAGCCAGGAGCCTGTCAGCTTGTGGGTGAATGGTTAAATTGCATTTTTAAGACAAAAATACTTGCATGCATGCAGGGATTTGTGAGCTTGACTGTCAACTTGTTTAATATTGTTTTCTTGTCGAAGTACATGTTTGGTTCCATTAAGATCCTTTAATATCGACTTAATTTCTAGGTATCGACTCAATGAAGAAAAAGCAGAGTGGATTATTTACGTGACTGATTCTGGCCAGAGAGAACACTTTGAAATGATTTTTATTGTAAGTCTTTAGTACCATACCTTATCACAGTAACCAGTCTCATACTCCAGATTTGTGAAAATAAGTTAACTGTACTGTGTTTTACTCCAATCCTTCTTCCAGGCTGCAAAACGTGCAGGCTGGCTTCCGTCTGATGAAGTGACATATCCCAAAGCTAGCCATGTGGGATTTGGCATGGTTTGTGGTGAAGATGGGAAACGGTTCCGTACTCGAAGTACTGATGTTGTCAAGTTGACCGATTTACTCGATGAAGCCAAGAGCCGGTGTAGATCTGCTCTCATTGAAAGAGGTGTGCCAATAATCACATGGTTGTTTCTTCTTAAGTGTGATATTTTTAAGGCTAGAAGTTGTGTCTACTTTTATTGTATTCCTTTAAGTTCTGTAACTTGATTCACGTCTTCTTATTGCTAAGTAATGATGCAAAAAGACTTTATATTTTACGATTGTTTTAAATTGCGCAATGCCTTACTGCAATAAGGTGCGCTTTGAGATTTTATTACCAATTTACAATGGGAGGCGTATCCCATTTAAGCAATGCTGATACTTGCGCAATTGCACCAAAGGCGTACGCCCATTGCGTACGCAATAGTGTGTTTTATGAGGTATGCCTTATCTAGAAGAAGCATTCCCGTAGACTATTAAGTTCTCCTGCGGGTGTAGACAAGAAGTTGGGTCCACTTCTGAAATTAAGCCCATATATGTTTTAAAGTTTACGCCTTCTACAACTTTACTTCTGCTGGTAGCCTGCAAGTTTATTTCTTCTCTACGGCTGTGATGGAAGACGTGAGCAACACCAGCTGAGAAGGTGAGATCTGCGTGACTTTTTACCGGTTCTGTGTGAAGGCTAAAGGCTGCGTCAGCTTTTATTTATTTTTTTTCTTCACGGCTTCACGACAAAGTCATGACAAAGTGGTGTGGTTTTAAGTTATTTTAATTTTTTTCATATCTATAGAATATGACAAGCTGCATGGTTTTAATAACACACATAATATAGAAGCAGGCAGGCAGCTGTATGATTTTAACTTATGAAGTGCTTTTCATATGTATGGGCTGGATGAGAATAATTTACTTTCTTATTTAAATTGTTTTTAATATAGTTTTTATATAAAAGTTGGATAAGTAAAAAAGAACTTGACAACATAATTACGTAGTACTATTTTGTGAACTTTGTTTTTGTTAACTATATCAGTGATTATTGTGTTGGTACAAAACTTGATTTGATTATGATATTTATTGGCTTTTAATGATTATTTGAATTTATTTTAATTACATTATTTGTATTTTTTATATATAAACTTGTGTGAAATATGAGGCTTATGCCTCATTGAGCAATGAGGCTTACGCAATAAGCAATGCTAAGAACCCGCCTCAAATATGGAATACACAATTTCAAACATTGTATCTTACGTTCTTACTTTAATTTGTTTCATCAGGCAGAGCAGATGAGTGGACTGAAGAGGAGCTTGAGAGAACTGCTGAAGCAGTTGGATATGGTGCTGTTAAGTGAGTTCCATATGACTGTGCAAACCTATTTGGCATCTATCTCTCATTCTAATGCGGGAATTCAATGCTGGAATTCCTGCTTTAATTTTAGATAATTGATACGTAGTATTTAATTGGATTCGAGGAAATGGTAAACCTGACAAACATTGCGTAGGCATTTTTCCATCCAGACTTTCCCAATGAGACTAAACTAGAAAGAGCAAAAGAAGGAATATTATCTGGTAGAATGTGTGCTGTGCTTGGGTGGGAAGGCACAGGCGAAAGCTAATGAGATGTTCAATCTGTGATAATTCCCCCCATAACAATATATACTGGATAGCCATGTTAGGCAGGTATCCCTGGGCTACATTATCAACATTCATCTAGTTATATATGATCTGGTAGAATGTGTGCTGTGCTTGGGTGGGAAGGAACAGGTGAAAGCTAATAAGATGTTCAAACTGTGATAATCTCCCCATAACAATATATACTGTATAGCCATGTTGGGTAGGTATCCCTGGGCTACATTGTCAACATTCATCTAGTTATATATTCATGACCTGCTCCATGACCGGTGACATTATAGATGAAGGTGCTTTTAATTTTTTTCAAAATCTTCCTTGAGTTGTCATGTCACTGGCCTTAATTTTAAGTATTCAATTTGAAACAGATATGCTGACCTGAAAAACAATAGATTGACCAATTACACCTTTAGTTTTGATCAGATGCTTAATGACAAGGTATGTTGCTGGAATTAAATTCTCACAACCTTATATAACTAGTTTTAACCCTAAACAATTGTTGATCTTACTTGACCCGTTTGCAACTATCAGGGCAATACTGCTGTATACCTGCTGTATGCACATGCACGGATCTGTTCAATCATCAGGAGGTCAAAAAGAGATATAGAAGACTTGATACATGTACTTTGTCATCATTCTTAATTTCCTTTCTAACTTGTATTTGTGTGGAGGTGCTTGGATGTGTGAGTGGGTAATGAAGGGTTTAAAACACAACCTACCATTGTCCCGCCTATTCGTGCGAGATGATTCATGCTCATTAAGGTTATGCGTTTTATTTTTATTTTTAACTAGGAACCTTAGGTTGACACCTTTGAAAGTGCAGCGAAGGTCATCAATGTGGCCATGGGTCTTATTGACTGCCCAATTTTGTGTTTTAGTTTTTAAACAAATTAGTTTTCATTTGTGTTCTTTTGTTTTCAAATACTCTCTCTGCATTGAAATGTTTGCTACACTTTCCTTTTAGGGATGTATTTTAATTTTTACTACACTTTCCCTTTTTAGCAAGTTTTCCCAAAATAATACTCAATTACCCTTGCTTTTTCTACTCTTTATCTTCTCTTTCATACTTTTCCATCCTCTCTCCTACTTTGTCTACACTATTCATTACCTTAACTACTTTTCCGTTAAACTATGTGCCATACCCTAGTGTAGCAAACATTTCAATACGGAGGGAGTATCTAAATTATAATTAGGGGAGAACTATTAAATAAGCCCTCGAACTTTCATAAAAAGTGAAAATAAGCCCTTTTATAGGAGGCTCTGTCCGTCCGTCACCATTTGGGGCGGTTTCCGGTGGCATTTTTTGATGAAATTTTATGAGTATCTTATTCATTAAGTCTAGTTTATTCATACCAAATTTCAGCTAAAAAGTCAATAGGGAAGACAGTCAATCGATTTTTCTGAAATATATTGTGCTGTCTAACTGCACAGTTATCTTAAAAAATTCATTTGGCTGCCTTCCCGGTTGAATTTTTAGATGCAATTTGTTATGGGTAAACTAGACTTAATGACGAAGATGCTCAAAACATTTCATCAAAAACTTCCACCGGAAACCGCCCCAAATGGCGACATCCGGACAAAGCCTCCGGTAAAAGGGCTTATTTGCACTTTTATGAAAGTTCGAGGGCTTATTTGATAGTTCTCCCTATAATTAGTCTTTGATTTAAATAATTGAAATGTTTGCTACATTTCCTGTTTATAGGATATGTCACAAGTAAAGTGAAAAAATAAATTCTTGTTTCAAATAATTTTCAGAAGTTCATTTTTAGGAATTGAACAAAGAAAACATTTTTTGGTTTCTGTTTCCAGAAACTGACATGAAAAAATTGCGTATTATGTTTTGTTCCTATTAAAGGAGTAGAACAATAAAAACTTTCTCTTTTAAGAGTGAATAACTGGTATTCCGTGAAGAAAACAATTGCGGTCCTACTTAAGGAAATGTGCCATGTTGTAATCCTAATGGAATTTCTAATAAATAGTTTTAATGTTTCATAGAAAATGTCAAAATTGGAATTTATGTTTTAAATTATTCCCGTTACTTTGTTTTTTAGAAACTGAACAAAGGACCCCGCAAACACAATTATTTTTTGTTTACTTTTTATATAAGTAAACCTAAATTTGTACTTGAAAACTTCTTATCAGTAACAGAGAGCGTTACCAAATGACATCTAAGTTTGTACTTGAAAACTTCTTATCAAGACTCATGTGTCATCTTCACAACCTTCCCTACCTCTATAGAAAAGGTAAATAATGAAGCAAGAGGAATGTCAATCTATCAATATTCATCTTTTAAGTTTCTTTTCTTTTATATCAGAATCTTTTGCCGCTCCCACCCCTACAATATCATGGTAACAAAGATTACCTAAGTGTGGCTTTAGTTTTTTCACTGCCCATGGTTGCTTGTATGAGAGAAGCACTAAAAAAGGCATCTTTGTGGTGTCTGTGGATGGTAGTGGATATGCAATCTACAACATAGATTTTGCTTTTCTTCTAGTTAAATTTTGTAGTCTCATGTCTTGGCACCGACCCCAAAATCTATTGGGACTAAGGCTTTGGTGTTGTTTGTTGTTGCATGTCTTGACTGTTGAACAGAATGGGACACTAGATTTAGCTCATCAAGATGAGCGCGTGTTGGGACTTCATTTACTCCAGTTCCCCGAGGTATGTTACCAAACGCATCATCTTATCTCCTTAGCATCAATTTATCAGTATGGCATCTTTCTATATCCTCTTTTTTGTAGGTCGTTGAAGAAGCTTGCTCAAATCTCCTACCAAATATATTGTGCGAGTATCTCTATAAACTATCTGAGGACTTCACAAGATTCTATAACAACTGTCAGGTATGCAAGATCTCCATGAATAAATATAGAATGAATAAAAAACTGAATCTAAATCTTTTATACTTTTGCATATTTGATGCTGGGTGCTTCCTATAAAGATAAGTGTCGGTAGATAGCAAATTTTACCACAATTGGCTCTACCTATTCTCGTTATACCCCCCCCCCCCCCCCCCCCCCCCGATGGCCCGATGATGCTTATATACTACCTCCGTCCCTCTAACATGGGGGCAAGAGGAGTGGTGCGTTTATTAAGATAAGTGGAATTATGTGGTTGATAGTAAATTGATAAAGGAAAGTATCAATAAATTGTAACCACCCAAATATTATCAAATATTATCGGCTGAATATGTTGAAATTGATGAAATGTTGGTTGAAGCTGCTGAATTGGATGATTCTGCTGAATGGAAAGATTACACTTCGTATTTAAAATACTACGTACATTTTATTAATAAAATCAAGAAAAATTTATTTGAAAAGATTCAAAAGAACTAAAATAGTCTTCTCCGATAACTTCAACTAATTCAGTCAGAAAAGTAACTCCAAACTAACTTATTTTTGTCATTACACAATTTAGAACGCTAAATCAAAATATATATGTTGGGTAAAAAAGTTGGGTGATAAGTTGAAAATATAAGTTACCAAATATGTAACAATTTGGGGTTGGGCTCTACAGCTTTGATCTTCTGTCGGTTGTTTATCTTTATTTCCTTTCACTTTTCTATTGTTCATTGTAACTTTCTATTGTTTCATCAATAAATCTTCCTCTTTATACCCCCCCCCCCTCCTGAAATTCCCTAACCAAACAAGCCCTTGTTGATTGGTATTCAATCACTTTGTAATTTTCAGGTGTTAGGTTCGGCCCAGGAAGAAAGCAGGCTGTTGCTATGTGAAGCAACAGCAGTGGTCATGAGGAAGTGCTTTCACTTGCTGGGTATCACTCCCGTTTACAAAATTTGAGTCTACATTTGACAACCCAGCACTTTGTAGCTGCTATTACGTTAAAAAGAATAGAACCCTCATTTTGCACACTTTCCCCCCCTTTTGGAACGATCAATGGTGCATTGAGTAGGTGCACCAGTTGTGTTTCTTGAAGTTGATTTGGCGAGATGTAGCCGTGAGGCCTGGCTGATATCTTAAATATAATTGATAAGGGGGATCACACTTTGGTCCAGATTTGAAAGCTATTCTTCCAGTCTAGCTGGAACTGGGCCTATCACTAGGAACGGAATTAAAATGCCTTCTTTTTAATTATCTGCAATTGTGGTTGGTAAGATTCCAAAACTCACAGGTGCCGGAATTGGTTGTGCACAACCAAGGACCGGGATGAAGCTGTTATACACTCATTTCGGTTTTGATGGTACCCAATGGAAGATTGGAATTATTGTTCTGGTAGCGGATCAAACTATTATTTCAATTTTCAAGGTTACAAGTCATTAACGCCCTCTAGCAAGATGTTATTTATACTCAAATTATATAAATATATATTAAATATGACAATCTTTTGAATGATTTATTGTGCTAACTGATTCCTTTTTGTTTAATAATATCTCAAATGACACAAGACTAAGTTCATGTCATCTTGCTTTATTAATCGTTGTTTCTAGAGTCTCAAGTAAAATTAATCTTAACACGTGATATTTTACTTGTGCATCGTCATTTTAATTAATACGGAGTATTTACTTGTCAAGCGGAGTGATATATATACACACACACACACATATATATTTATCGGATCAAAAGTAGTTTTTAATGATATTGAAAGTTTGAAACATAAAAAAAATGGACATGAATAATTTTAACTAGGGAAAAGGGGTAAATAAGGTCACGTACTAACCAAAAAAGATCAAATAAGGCCTTATTTATGAGGCTCTGTCCGGCCATCGCCATTTGAGTTGGTTCTCATTGGAATTTTTTGATGAAATTTTTTGAGCATCTTATTCAGTAAGTCTAGTTTACTCATACCAAATTTAAGATAAAACTTCAATCGGGAAGCCATTCAAATGAATTCTTGAAGATAATTGCGCAGTTATCTTTAAGAATTCATTTGAATGCCTTCTAGATTAAATTTTTATATGAAATTCGGTATGAGTAAACTAGACTTAATGAATAAGATGGTCAAAAAAAATTCATCAAAAAATTCTACCGAAAATCACCCCAAATTGCGATGGCCGGACAGAGCCTCATAAATAAGGTCTTATTTGATCTTTTTTGGTTAGTACGTGGCCTTATTTGCCCCTTTTCCCTTTTAACTATTAGGATGTTTTTTACTGAAATTTGTTTGATGGATTGGTCTGATAAATGATTGGTCTCTGTATCCATGTGTACACTTGAGTGGTTTGTGGTATACATCATTATATCATTTTTAATTTAGATTTAAATAATTCAACTGCAACGCACTCATTGATCCATGTGGACAAAGGTATGGTTACCATAAAATCTACCTTAATTTTTTCTTGGGATCTTGTTCCTCTCTCTACACTAAAGAGGATCCCCCGTAGGTAGGTAGGGTAGCTGGCTAGAATTTATAAGTTGTGAAACTGTTGAATTAAGAAAGAGCCATGCATGCATATCCTACGTGCGCATGATGCATGTGTTGGCAAATATATACTATCGTATAAATAATATAATGTGCGTTGTTATAATTAATTCGTAGAGTAATCGTTATTAAAAAATGGTGTGAGGGAATTGAAATACATACATACATATATAAATGTGGATGGGAGTTTATGAATTGCTGCATGCCCGCATGTGTGCAGTCATGTATATCTAATAGATCCACAAAATAAAAAAAAAAACAAAACATACAAAAAGAGAGAGAAAAACATGCACGGGCTGTTGACGCGCGCGCTCCGAATTCCGATGTGGGCAGCGAGCTAAGCAAGGATGAATGATGGATGCAGCAGCTGCAACTGCATGCTAATAATAATAATAATAATAATAATAATAATAATAATAATAATAATAATAATTAAGGTTGTTGAACTGATCGAATATTATATTATTTATTTATATATATAATTGGCCGGCCGGCCGGCCGGGTACGTAACGTACGTCACGTGTTCCCTCCCAACTTATAAACAATGAGCTGAGGATCCATATGTATGTATGTATGTATGTGTATATATAAGAAACTAACGTTTAGTAATTAAAGACGTAAGAAATATATGTATATATATAAGCTACTTATAATTATTAATTAGTCGTATTAGATGGAAAGGGCGCCAGGCCGGCTGGGCGGATTGATTAATGAATGTATTATTTATTTTTATTATATGGATTAATTAAATGGATGCGGGATGGCTGGCTAGTAGCCCTGCTCAAGCAAATAATCGCCGAGCCTCTCGACAACCATGTTGCACTGGCCCGGAGTCATGGGCTCATCATAGATGCCGAACAGCAAGCACTGGGTGGTCTTCTTGACGGTAATGCCGCCGGGCCCTTTTTTGCCGCGCACCACCGCCCCGGCCTCACCTTGAATCACCATGTACTTGGTCCCGCCCAGGTACAGTCCCGTCGGAGCCAGGGAACCCGGCTCATCAAAATCCTTCATGATCGCCCTTATTTCATCGCCGCTCAACTGCATGTCATATCATATACATACCTACTCAGAATCAAATCAATGAATGCATATATATACATATAGCTAGCTAGGTAGGTACGTGCCTTGGGGAAGTTGGCCGTCTGCGCCCAAACGCTGCCGTCGTGGCCGAGGATTGCGGCAGAGGTGAGCTTGTTGCCTTCGATGTCGCACATCAAGTGCTCGTCCACATATGTTTGCCACGACATCCTGCCTGTCTCCCTTACCTTCTTCGATCCTAGCTATATATATATATATATATATATATATATATATATATATATGATGATGTTGATTACCTACTTGATTGATTTTTATGTACGTTCTTAATTAGCTCGATCTACGTTAATTAATTAACTCCAAAAGTAAGTTATTTAATTGAGAGATCAGATCGATATATTTAGGTGGAGCTGAGATAGATTGAAGGGAGTTGGGAGTAGCTAGGGCTATATATATAGATATATAAGATCTCGATGCTAGCTGGCTGCTGCTCATCACATTGGCCGCTCCTACCAACCGCTAGCCATGTAGTGGTGGAGAGAGGATCACGCCCCACCCCTACCCACTCACCTAGCTGAAAAAGTCTCCATTCATTTCATTATCAATTTTCATATAGTCTGAACCAAATAAAATAAAATAAAATGTCTCAACCTCTAAAATAAGAATTAACATCTAAACCGTTAGATCTGTACTCCATCTCATCGGCCTTCTTTTGTTTTATTTTACGACACACGACACACACTTCAACCTATCTATCTGGCTCCTCTCTGTTTTCTTCTTCTTCTTTGTTCGCAAACCTTCAACCCGTTCCCAGCTTCTCTCTGAACTCTTATTCATCCCCTGACTTGTAGCCCATCGGTAATCTTGGAGCAGATTCCGTTGAGTATCGCTCTGGTGGATCTTCGATTAATTTTGCTCTGGGTGTTCATCGAGCGTTTACTCTGCTTCACCATTGAGTGTTGCTCCGGAAGAACATCTTCAACATGTCCTTCGATGGGTGTGTTGGACCTTTTCTTAGACTAAGGTTTGCTCCAGTTTTGGGGATTTCAGATTATATGTTCATATGATGATATGAGAGATCTATCTAACTCTCTATATGATGATTTATGAATTGTTTCATTTCAATTTGTTATTTGATTTCTTCAATTTCAATCTGGAATGAATTGGTTGGAGGGATTTTAAATTTATTCTGGTTTGATTTGTGATTTCTGTTTCATTCAATCTGTTTTTTTTTTTCAATTTTAATTTGGAATGAATTGTTTGGAGTTTTTACGGATTTACCCTCTAACTCTAACTGGTGGCAATCAAGATTTGCTATCCTGGTGTAACCGTGTTTAAGCACAGAGAGACTTCCCACGAACTGAATAGTTGTTTCTTTCTTCCTTTCTTCCCCGCTTCAGCTTACAGTAGCGCTTCTTCCAATCCAAAAAGGGCTGAGCAGGTTGGCATCCAAACAAACATAACCTACAATTGAATTGATCATCACTAAGCTATACAGCAGGGGGGTAAGTTACTGTTAGGATCATGTTTTTTGCAGCCCACAGTTCATCAACGCCTCCAATGCACCATAGGCATAAATAAACACAGCTTAAATTACAATTTTTAGCCTATTAGCAGCTCAAATGGTAGAGCGATGTACCATAAACACATAAATGTGGGTTCGAATCCCACATAGGCTACACTTATCTTAACAAAAAAGCCCAGCCTTTTCGTATCAAGTTTTTAAGAAACTGAAATGATGAATACAATACAATGGAGAATCTGTTCCCAGAACTAGAGAGATATTAACTTCAACAATTTGGAATATAGTAATCCACACAAGCAATTAACATACATGAGTTGGAATATCAAAACATTATTAATTGTCAAAACAGAAGAATAAAAAGAAAAGGGTTGCTATTAAAGTCCAATACAGCCACACTAGTGAGTAGCAGTTCTCAAAAAAAGTTCCCCAAAAAGTAAATGCTTACACAGTATGTTTTTGGAATCCAAATTGTCTAAATTAAGAACTTAGCAATAAAAGAAACAATACTGCTTATCAAAGTGCAATTATTATACCACAACAACACTTTAAGCAATTAAGAACACTTTTGGAATCACGATTAAGAACATTACAATAAAAGAAACAATACTGCATGCCACTGTGGTAGCTACATGTTATCTGTCTCAAGTTTCAAAAGTACTTTTGTGTAGCCTATGTGGGATTCGAACCCACATTTATGTGTTTATGAACACATTTCTCTACCATTTGAGCTAATAGGCTAGAAATTATTATCCAAAGCATTTTGAAATGTAGTTCCATATTAAAATAGTGCACTTTAAAAAAACTGCAGTTGCTCACCCATTTAACAAATCCAAAGTACTAAAATCTTACTTACTCCGTATTTTGTTATCCTGATTTTTTTGTTGGTTCAAGTACACATCCCACGTCTAAGTTGATTGTAACTCCTTTCTTACAAATGTAATAACAATCACATTAGTTTATTTTAGTTATAGACTAAATATAGGAACTTTAACAAAAAAATCATAACTTATAGACCCCTCGAAAAATAATTACGAAAATGCCACCGCAAAAAAATAAGTCTGGAAACCTTGAAAAAACTTTGACGCGGTGGGATTTTCGTAATTATTATGGAGAGCTTTATAAGTTATGATTTATTGGTTATAAGTTCCTATATTCAGTTTATAAGTTTACTGCGTTGTAAGATTAGATGCCAATCCAATGATTGAAATTACTTCTCACTTTTCATTTTAAGGGACACTTCTCACCTGATCTTTTCTCTATCTCTATATATATACATATACGGAAAAAATCACGTGAGAAATGTCTCTTTGATTGAAAATTGCGAAGTATTAACTAATAAAACTAATAAGCTAATTAACTTATAAAAAATAAAGTATAAAATACGATATTGCGATGATACGAGTATGATATTGCGATGAAAACAACTAATTGGATATTTGACAAAAGCACTTTTATATTTATTGACACATAAATGCCATCAAGACACATCGTTTGTGATAACTATTAATTCGTTAAATATAACTTATAAAACTAATTCACTACAACAAAACACACATTTTGAAACACTCTAAATATGTTACATTAGATTACTAAAGTGTTACGAAAACATTTATGCAACGTTTTTACAAGTGTTACTTCAAGTCTCGTTGTATAAAGTCGTATGGAACACTTTTCACCATATTATGCAACACTAAGTTTAACTATTGCATAAAGAACTCAAATGCAACACTATATTGCAACACTTTGATTAGAATCTTAAGCAACACTTTTTAGAATCTAATGCAAAATAAAAATACGGAGTATTTCTTTAAGCAACATTTTTTTGATACTTATGTAACATATTTACTATATCTTTTTGCAACATCAATCTTTATTAGGTAACAGTGTCGTAACACTTATATTAGTACTTTTTGCAACCCTTATAAAAATTATTTGGTAACACTTTCTTGGATTATAAGAGCTAACACTATCTATGAATCTATGAATAATGAATACTATCGTATTTAGCATTCACATTGATATATTTTTGCCACGTAAAATTACCCAACACAAAATTTATATCACAAAGAAAAACATGTAGTACAAATTTACAACAATCAACGTATCAAAGAAACCAATATCCCATTGTATGTAGTACAACATTTTTGTAAAAATAAAAAATATCAAACTAGATACAAAATCACAACTAAACCAACTAAAGCTCTTCTAGTTGAACCAGGGAAAACGAGTTTTTCCCAGAATAATGCTAATTAAATAAATTATTCCCGAAATACTGCCGGGTTAAGGATAATTCCCAAAATACTGCTGGAATTAACCACGATTAAGGAAAGCCGCCACTCCAAGTGGCGGCTCTTGTATTACTTCACAAAAGCCGCCACTCCGAGTGGCGGCTCTTCTCTTATAGTACAAAATCCGCCACTTCAAGTGGCAACTCTTCTCTTACATCCCATTTTGTACATATATAAAATGCAGTATGTTTCAAGAATTTGTTTAACTACCTTCCCGATTCATTTTGGAGCTAAAATTTGGTATTCATAAACTAGATTTGATTAGGAACATGCTCAAAATATTTCATCAAAAAATTCCACCGGAAACACCCTCTTATGGTGTTGTCCTCGGGGGGTTCCGGTCAGGACGTCATGACAAAAGGGTGGTCTGGCCACCTCAATTTGAGGTGGTTCCCGGTGGTATGTTTTGATGATTTTTTTTGTGTATGTTCCTAATAAAGTCTAGTTCAGTCATACCAAATTTGAGCAAAACATTCAATCCAAAAGGCCGTCAAATGATTTTTGAAAAATAACTACGTCAGATTATACATATAAAACGCAGTTATCTTTAAAAAATCATTTGACTGCTTTCCCGATTGATATTGGTTCTGAAATTTGATATGGATTAACTAGAATTGATGAATAACATACACACAAAAAATAAGCAAAACCTACCACCGGGAATCACCTCAAATTGAGTTGGCCGGACCACCCTTTTGTCATGACGTCCTGATCGAAACCCCCCTCGGACAACACCATCAGAGGGTGTTTCCGGTGGAATTGTTTGATGAATTTTTTTGAGAATGTTCCTAATCAAGTCAATTTTATGCATACCAAATTTCAGCTCAAAATTCAATCATGAAGGCAGTTAAACAAATTCTTGAAACATACTGCGTTTTATATATGTACAAAATGGGACATAAGAGAAGAGCCGCCACTTGAAGTGGCGACTTTTGTACTATAAGAGAAGAGCCACCACTCGGAGTGGCGGCTTTCCTTAATCGTGGTTAATTCCAGCAGTATTTTGGGAATTATTCTTAACCCGACAGTATTTCGGGAAAAAATTATTTAATTAGCATTATTCCAAAAAAAACTCATGGAAAACGTTTACACATTCATTGATTCACACTTCTTTTCACGTTCTTTCCGCATTGGTTCTAGGTGTGCTCATAACTATCAATATTATTGAGCCACATTGGTGCAACAAAGGCATGATAGTTGCATCACACGGTGCTAGGAGCATTGCAATGATAGTTTCCCAGGATACGGTGGCTACGAACAACCTTATGAGCACACAATCAGTTGTTCTGGCGAACGGAAACAAAGCAAGAACAATGGAGAGTTTTCATAAAGTTGGAGGCAGATACACTTTCGGACGACATTCGTGTTCGCATGTTGCCCGCACACGCAAATTGCTGGTTTTCTTCCCCGTTTTCGGGATTTGATCGGCACCCTCCCTGCGCGTGAAGAGAGCCTTTCTTTCTAGGAATCTTAACTCCTTGAAAAAGAGTCACCTTAATCCCTTAGGTTTTCCGATGTGAGAAAACTCACACTAGAAACCTACCCTTTTCCTAGTTTTCTCCATTTCAACGAGTTAACTTCGAGAATCAATTTCTCATCCTCATGTCATCCATTTTAAGTATACCATAAATCGAATCGAAACCCTTAACAAGGAGAATCCGAAATCGCTTTGACCCAACCCAAATCGGAAGTGGGACCTACGAAAAATTTGTCCCGAAATCAACCATTTTGATGCAATTTTAACACATTTTTTAACAATTAGAAGTTATTGTTTCTTTTCCTTTTTCCCTTTTCACCCCATCCGTTTTCATTAGTCTTGAATCAGTAATTGACTACTGAGTTGTTGTTTTAGGATTATTACCTTTTCTTCTATTTTCGCCTAATCACACTTTCTCTATCTCATTTCATGCAAATAACATATCCATAATTTCTTAATCTTTTTGCTTTCTTCCTTTTTAACATTTTTCTTGTCCCCCCTCCCCCGTTTTCCTTCTTCACGAGTTTTTTATCTGAAAATTTGTTGAAAAAAATGTATAAAAATTGCATTTAATCGCTATTTTCGGGCAGTATTTTGAGTGGAATTTACTTCCGATTTGGGCTGGATCGGAGTGTTTTCAGATTCCCCTTTTAAGGGGTTCAATTCGATATGTGGTACACTCAAAACACATATACAAGTGCATGAGAAATTGATTCTCGAAATTCACTTGTTGAGAAGGAGAAATTGGAAAATTTCCGAAGGTAGAACTAAATGTAGAACTACCGTCGGTTAATGTATGTTTTAATCTCTCATTCGAACTGCCAGAGTTTCAAACGTTGGCTAACATTTAGAAACTGTATAATGTGATAATAAATGGTGTAATTACGTGGTTAATGGCCTGAAACGTTCAAAACCATTAAAACACAATAAGTGTGTGTTTAATGGGTGGTTTCATACAATACGTGTGTTTTTAATGCATAATTAATACAAAGGCTTCTCCCCCATATAAGCTTGGTAGCAGATTTTTGGAAGAACACATGATCAAGGAAAACACTAAGCATACAAAAGTACTCCCTGCACAGTCCTCTCAAAAGAAAAACTCATTCAAACTTCCAACAAAACTTCCTCATTCTACCCTTCTTTCCAGTTCATCGGAGCAACCTATTGATTGCTCAATACGGTTCTTTTCAGATCGTATATATCCTGAGATACTGACACTGCAACGCTCCTAGCACCGTGGGAGACAATGACTTAGTTTTAAGGACATTGTCCATTGCACACGCTTTGATTTTTTACTCGTGCCAATTCCTTGTCGTGTTCTTTCGCCTATTTTTAATTTCTTATTTTTGGAAAAAACAAAAACACTATTATCCCCAATAGATTTCCCATCATAGCTAATGAAATTAATGATGGACTCACTTAGAAAAGTATGATGACGCAGAAAAGAGAAAACTATATGGTGGTGGAATATAGCTAAGAAAAAGGAAAAGGAAAAAATAAGTGAATGTAAGAAAAAGTAAAGTAAAAAATTAGTAGGGTGAGAAAAAGATATTTTATAAGAAGAGAATTAAGCCGAATAAAATAGATAAAAAATAAAGGAAATGAAATAATAAACGGGTGGAAGAAAAGTAAGGAAAAAATGGAATACATAAACATGGAAAAGAAATAAAAGAAGAAGATAAAAAAGGAATAAAAGAGTCGAGAAGATAGAAATAAAGAGTAAAGACTTTTAGTGAGAAAAAAAAAATTATACGTGAGAACGTTTTGAGAAAATTTATGAAAGGCAAGATTTGTGATTTAATATTTTATGAAAAAATGGAAAGAATAGTTTAAATATCCCAAACTTTGAATGATTTGAAGTAAATACCCCAAACTTGCGCATGCAATATACAAACCTTAATCTTTATATAAAAATTTACTTCACCACCATGAACATATGTTTTTTCACAAATGTAATTTTATGGTGTTAAGTACATAATGTAAAATACACAAAACACTTATGCGGATGCAATTAAAATTAGATTGTACCAAATTAATACTACGTATTATTTATTTCACACATGAAATTTTAGAATGTTAACTACATTCAAATAAAGCTTAGAGCACTTTAAATCGTGTACTTATATTGCATTGAATTTATATTTGTAAAAAAAAATCATGGTGCAAAAACTGTGTAAAGTTCGGGATATATACTACATAAAAAAACTTGAAATATTTATCTCACGCTCTTTTGAAGTTTGGAGTATTTATATTATTTCCCCCCAAAAGTCAATAAATATGAGATTATTAGTTTCCGTTTCCACAAAAAATCAGTAAAAAATATGGGATTATTGGTTTTCATTCTCCCCAAAAATCAGTATATATAGATGAGAATGTGTAATGGCATGTGTTTGCTTTGGTAAAAACAGAAGTGCGGCCACTAATTATACAGATTGAATACGCTTCTAAAAAAAGAGACGTTCCGAGGACCTCTCGCACACTAATTATACAAATTGAATACGCTTATTAAAAAGGGGCGTTCCGAGAATCGAACTCGGGACCTCTCGCACCCAAAGCGAGAATCATACCACTAGACCAAACGCCCGATTTGCTGGGTGTGGATGAATGTGTATATATAAATCTTTTTTCTTTAAGCTCTATACAATAAAAGCACACAGACCCGAGTGGGTGGGGGAATCCACACACAAACACACACATAGCCCCACACACACATAGACACACACACACATATATATGAGATGATTCAAATAAAAAGAGGTCTTAACGTGCAAAGTGAAAAGTTTACACTTTTTCATGTTTCGTTTGCACTTTTTCTTGCTTTCATTGCACTTTTTCGCGATACCTCAAAAAAATTGGTTTATTTACAAAACTGACACCGTCATTTTGATCGAATTTGGCCAAAATCAAAATGGACAAAAAGTGAAACACAAACAACAAAAAGTGCAAGCGAAACTTGAAAAAGTGAAAACTTTGCACTTTACACGGAAAGACCACTTTTCATTTGAACTCTTCTATATATATATATATATATATATATATATATATATATAGAGAGAGAGAGAGAGAGAGAGAGAGAAGAATTCAAATGAAAAGACCTTTTCCCGTGAAAAGTGCGAAGAGATGCACTTTTACATGTTTCGCTTGCACTTTTGCGTGTTTCTCTTTCACTTTTTCGCGATAACGAAAAAGTGCAACATATTTACGAAATTGCCACCGCAATTTTGGTCGAATTTTGTACATTTTTGGCTCACTTTGCATGGGAAGATCTTTGTATTTGAACATCCTATATATATTTATATCCGTCTGCTATCTGTTTGCTTGCTTTTCCCGCGCCTTGAAAGGTGTTCCCGCTCCTCCGACGAAAACCCTAATGCGAGAAATGGGTACGAAGCACCAATCTCTTTCATCGTCCGACCCCAAGAAGCGACGCCGAGTTGGATTCTCAGAAATCGGTGAGTCACTCAGTTTTAGCAGACTTGTATTAATACCTTTCCAGCGTTTTTTCACTCACTGGTCCGACACTTTTGTCTCACATTCTTTGTTTTATTTCATCTACGTAGATGCCGGAGTTCAAGCTAGTGACTGTATCGATATATATTTAGGTACAACTTTTTATGACTAAAGCATGTTGTCTAATTTTCATTGAATCATGCCGGTGATCCATGACATTCTGGCCTCTTGTATTTATAATTTTCATTCTCAGCTTCCAAACAAGAGGAGGTGGGCTCTATAAATAGTTTCCATCTTGAGACTATTGATTTAAATAGTTTTTTTGAAGATGATGGATATATTTTTGGTTATCAGGGCTTGAAGGTACGGTGGATTTCCTCCTCATATGTGTGTGTTATGGGTTTTTGATTGGGATAGCTCTTCTTTTGAGATCAATGGGACTAATCTCATTGCTTTAAGGATCTGCTTTGGACTTTAGTCATTATTCCTTATGCAATTGAATTTTAAGAATTGAAGATGTTTTTAATATAGAATACACTAGTACACGTTTTATTAGTTGTTTTACAGTATTTTTTTAAAGCTGTTACAATATAGATGTTTTAAGAATTGTAGTAGTATTCTTTTACACTAAAAGGCTTCACAACTTTTGAAAGATGAATCGTTATGTAAGAAATAAATTGCTTAACTACAATTTGAGAATGGTTCTACAGTGGAAAGGCTAAGAGTGCCATCTCCTCCCATGTGTACTATGTTGTTCTGTGCCACTAATGTTTCATGTTTATAATTATTAGGAATGTATTCTGTTCATTATATTGTACCTAACTAACTAACTACTGTTAGTACTATCTCGTGTGTTAGTTAGCTGTTAGCAATACATTTCCTTGTCTATAAATACTCTGTAAATCTGAACAATCCTAATCAATAATATTACAATCTTTGTTCTATCTTCCTGTTGCTCTCTGGTTATCAATATGGTATCAGAGCTTGAGTTTTTCGATCATGACGCCATATAACGAACACAAATTTCAATTTCACTCTGAGGAATGTATTTTTTTAGGATATTCTCCTCAACACAAAGGCTATAAATGCTTAGCTTCTTCTGGAAAAGTATATATATCCAAGGATGTTACCTTCGATGAGTTTAAATTTCCTTATACTTATCTGTTTCCTCCACATAAAACTTCCACTCAATCCAATCGGTCTACAAACACACCCTTAACAGTTCTACATACCCCACCCTCTTCATCTATTACTATCTCAGACTCATCTTCTCTTTCAGTCTCTCAACACAATACTAATACTCAGTATCAGTCTTCTAATTCCAATTCTGAATCATATAACTCTAACTCTAATTCCTCTCATTCTACCTCTGAGTCATCTCAATCTACTTCTGGGTCATCTAACTCTATCTCTCAACCTATCATCACTGCTCCTATCTCTCTAGTTCTCTCTTCCAATGTTCATCCTATGAACAGTAGAGCTAAATCTGGTATACTAAAACCTAGGCTTAATCCAACCTTGCTCCTAGCTCATAATGAGCCAACATCAGATAGGCAGGCTCTTGACTCACCTGAATGGTTTCAGGCTATACAGACATAATATAATGCTTTGATTACCAACCAAACCTGGACTCTTACTACTCTGCCTCTTGATAAACATGCAATTGGGTGCAAATGGGTGTTTAGATAAAAAGAAAACCCTGATGGTACTCTTACTAAATTCAAAGCCAGATTAGTTGCCAAAGGTTTTCATCAACAATTTGGTTTTGATTTCAGTGAAACATTCTCTCCAGTGGTCAAACCTATAACTATCAGAATTCTTCTATCTCTTGCCATTTCTAATTCTTGGACTATACAACAACTTGATGTTCATAATGCCTTCTTAAATGGTGATCTTCAAGAAGAAGTATACATGGTACAACCCCCAAGTTTACAATCTTCTGACAAATCTTTGGTCTGCAAGCTTAATAAAGCTATCTATGGTTTGAAACAAGCTCCCAGAGCTTTGTTTCTTAAACTTACCTCAGCCTTATACTCCTTTGGCTTCAAACAGTCTAAATGTGATGCCTCATTACTATTCTATCTTTCTAATACTATTCAGATTTATGTGTTGATCTATGTTGATGACATTCTTGTTATTGGAAATAACACTCCTGCTATTCAGCATCTTATTCAAAAATTAGACTCCAACTTCTCACTAAAGCATTTGGGGGAGCTTGACTATTTTCTGGGTATTGAAACTCAAAAACTTTCTGATGGCAGCCTCCATCTCTCACAAACAAAATATATCAAGGATCTTTTGGAAAAAAGCTGGCATGAAAGATTCTAAAGGCATTACAACACCCATGCTTAGTAGTTGTAAACTTTTAAAAGAAGGATGCAACTATGTCACTGATGCTACACACTACAGATCTATTGTAGGTTCTCTACAGTATGTCACTCTAACCAGGCCAGAAACTAGCTATGCTGTTAACAAAGTGTGTCAGTTTATGGCATCTCCTTTAGAAGATCATTGGAAGGCAGTGAAAAGAATATTAAGATACCTCTCTAGTACACTTAAACATGGTCTTCTTCTACAACCAATTCTTTCCAGGACTCCTATCCAACTAAGTGCATTTTGTGATGTTGATTGGGCCTCAGATCCCAATGACAGAAGGTCAACATCTGGTTCTTGTGTTTTCTTAGGACCTAACCTTATTTCCTGGTGGTCAAGAAAACAACTATGTGTAGCCAGGTCTTCAGCTGAAGCTGAATACAGAAGTCTAGCTGACACTGCAACAGAACTTTTGTGGATTCAGTATCTACTTCAGGAGATTAAAGTTCCATACTCTATTCCTCAAATCTACTGTGATAACCTAAGTGCTGTTCATCTTGCTCATAATCCTATTTTTCATTCAAGAATAAAACATATGGAACTTGATCTCTACTTTGTCAGAGAAAAGATTCTGCATAAAACACTTCAAGTACACCACATACCTGGTCCTTATCAAGTTGCAGATGTGCTGACTAAACCACTCTCAGCATCCAGATTTACAGAGTTGAAGGACAAACTCAATGTGATTGAGTTTTCACACAAATCACACTGAATTTGAGGGGGGAATATTAGGAATGTATTCTGTTCAGTATATTGTACCTAACTAAGTAACTACTGTTAGTACTATCTCGTGTGTTAGTTAGCTGTTAGCAATACATTTCCTTGTCTATAAATACTCTGTAAATCTGAACAATCATAATCAATAATATTACAATCTTTGTTCTATCTTCCTGTTGCTCTCTGGTTATCAATAATAATTAAGTGTGCGTAATGAATCATGCAGATTACAATCTGGATTAACACAGTATCATTCCATGCATATGCTGATATTTCTTTTCAGAGTTCATCTGATGTGAGTATTCCTTTTCCTATATATGGTCACATAGGTTTTCAATTTGGTGGAAGAAATTGTTCTTATTTGTCAATTGATCATGTTTAAAATATGGAACTGTATCAATAATCCTTCTCAATTTAAATTGGTTTGATTTCCAAAGGATTGTTTTTAGTTTGAACTTTGAATGGGATTTGATACCAAATCAGAGAGTTAAACTTTTCATGTGAAAAATAATTGAAGGCACTGCACACTGTTATTGCTTCAGTGCCTTCTACTTTTCATTAAATATGTTCCATATCCTTAGCATAATGGGAACAATGAACTTTTCCCTCAATAGAAAATATTCCTACTTGTCTCTTACTCTATGGTCTTCCAAAACATTCCAGGGAGGCAAAGGCATCACTGATCTAAAGTCTGCTCTTCAGGTGGAAAGATAAAAGGACTGGGTTAATCTTTTGCTTTGTTACCTGTGTTTTTTACTCAAATATCTTATATCCTTTATTGTTCAATGATGAACATGCTAATTACAGCATTGCCTAACATCCTGATAAAACACCCAACTAAAGGGGTCTATAGTTACCTTACAAAATGGCTAAAACATAACTTCAGTAGAATTGCTCCTGGTAAGGCTCATGCCATTGATCCACATTCAGAGTAATATAGTGGTGCTTCCTGCAGAGTATTTTTGCAGATAATCTTCTTGAAGAGAAAGATGTGTTCCTTCAAACCTTCTCAAAGGAAAGACATTACATTAAGTACGTTTCACACTGAGAAGAGTTTACACTGACGGTTTTTGTTGTTTCAACCAACTGCGATCTTTAATATGATCTTTTTGTGGAAAGTGCATGTTTTAGTGCTTTTTCTTCCTCAACATTACTAATTTTCTGAAGTGCCTGTGCAGATATGTTAGCTCAAATGCTGAACCCTTGAAACATGAAACTTCTACTGATCATATAGCTGGTTCAGATGCTGAGGTGACCTTTTTTATTATGCCGTGATAGGAATATATGAAAATGATGGTCATCTTCTAAGTTTTTGCTCTGTACTGCATCTTCTTACTGAATATAATATTGTAAATTTAAAGGCTAAATAGGTTCTTGGAATGAAAGGATTAATACTCTCACCGTATTGAAATGTTTGCTACAATAGTGTTTGGCACAATAGTTAAGGGAAAAGTAGTAGGGGTAATCAATAGTGTAGAAAAAGTAGGCTAGAGAGTGGCAAAGTATGAAAGAGAAAATAAGATTATAAGAAGTAGAAAAGTAAGGGTAATTGAGTATTTTTAAAGGGAAAGCTTACCATAAAGGGAAAGTGTAGCAAAAGTTAAAATATATTCCAAAAATGAAAGTGTCGCAAACATATCAATATGGAGGGAGTATCTTTCAGTCTTTATACATGTAGAGTTGATTATAGAAAGAAAACACAAAATGTTATGTATTGGCATGCTATATACTGAAATGTACAACTCTTAGCTTTAAGGCATTGTTTGATTCAGATTCAGGTATTTCGCATTGTTGGAGAGCCTCTGGGACACTTTTACTGTCGGCTGGTGCCTCTTGTACTTCTTTTAGTCGAGGGTACAATGTTCTTGATATGTGTTAATATGTAGAGTCAAGTGGACAGTACATTGTCAGTTTATCAAACTTGTTCATACTATGTGAAACAGGGAGCAACCCTATTGATGTGACTGATCCAAGATGGGAAATATATCTTTCAGTCAAGAAGAGTTCTGATCTCCAAGACGACTATCATCTGCAGCTGCTTGGCTTTTCAGCCGTATACAGGTTTCATCATTATCCTGATGGTGCACGATTGCGTCTTGGTCAGGTGAAAGTAAAGCCCTTATTTTGTCACATTAACAAAAAATAAAAACAAAAAAAATAGCATCTTTTTCAGTTGTTCTGATATGCATTTTGACAAAAGTGAACACTTGATTCAGTCTCCCAACTCTACTCAATTTTTTGGAGATTCAGTTCGTTCCTCAAATGCAGTTTGGAACCCAGTATAGTTCTCATACATATGGGGTCCATATAAAACAAGTATTTAGGTGGATTTACTAAAACATGGGACATAATTTAAGATGGATTCTCAACATTGCAAAAAGGGACCAAAATTAAGACATAGCTCCTCAGCTATATGGCATTATAAAGCTAGATCATCTGGACATTTTTTAATTAGTATTTGTATTTAAAATATACGTATTTAGAAACTACACCAAAAGTTTTGTTGAAGTGCAAAATTTGAATTTGAATGACAAAAAAGTCGATACTTAACATAAGAGAACAAAAATGAATTGTGCTGACAAAATTCTGTGTCACAGAGGGAGTATGTAATGTAAACATATTTTACTCTGCACTGTACAACACACACTTCAAATTAATAAATCTTGTTGAGGACCGAGTTGAGGCCAAAAGAATGAATAGTAACAAATAGAGTAATAGTATGTGTTCAACTCTTACAGTAAACACATCATCCTAGACTAGATTGATTGTAACACATGCTTGATGATGATGATAATCATGATGAGTTGATGACAGATACTGGTGTTACCCCAATACCAACACAAGGGCTATGGTCGGAACCTTATAAAGGTGCTCAACAATGTTGCGACAAATGAAAATGTTTATGACCTGACTGTAGAAGAACCGGATGACTCCTTTCAACATGTCAGAACATGCATTGATGTAGAGCGTTTGTTTGCATTTGGTCCAATTAAGAGTGCATGGGACTCGGATGCCTTGTGTATAAAGAAAGGAAAAAAGGGTTCAAAAAGAAGCATCGGCGAGATACAGAGATTGCGCCCGCCAGCTAAGGTTATTGAAGCAGTCAGGAAAGCTCTGAAAATAAACAAAAAACAATTGATGCAGTGCTGGGAGGTTCTCATCTATCTCCACTTGGATGATGATGATGATATGGAGGGGTTCAGAGCTGTGGTTGCAGATAGAGTGAGGGGTGATGTGATCGGGGCAAAGGGTTCAGTAGCGAGCGGTGGGAAGCGGGGGGTGGTTGATGTTCCAACTGAGTATGATGAGGACACATCATTTGTGATGTTTGAATTTCGGGATGAAGGGGCAGCGGCTTCTTGCAGCATAGACAAAGGAGACGATGAAAAGGTGGTGGAGCAGCTGGAGAAACTGGTGGATGAGAGGATGAAACAAATCAAGTTCATTTCAGAAAAGGTTTCTCTTCCTCTTCCTCTTCGTGGATGAAGACCTGAGTAAGCAATAGAGTACACAAGAATTGCCCTGATTAAGGAGGATCTCAGCCAGTTGGCTTTGACTTTTTATGTACTTCCATTATTTGTAGCCCTGAATCCCTGATTCCCATGGTTCCGAGTTTGGTCTTAGCTCCTCAAGGTGATCCTCAGAAACTGCCCCTTGTCAAAACTCAAAATTAACCTAGCTTACCATTTCATGTAGATGTTAAACGGTGGGTTTCTTCTCCACTCCCTGATGAACAGCCATGCAATGTCATGTTCACTCTTTTTTAGTGTCTGCCTTTACGTCAATTTACCATTCATGGTGGCAATTTTAATGAAAATGACAGGAGTATTAGGAAGGTGGCAGCCTTTATATTGATTTTTTATTCCGAAGATGTAGGCACGTGCGAAGTAAGGAATAGATGTGGCATTTTTTTGCAGTATAATGTATCAAAATTATGTTTTTAAACTACCATTGTGTTGTGGATTCTTTTTGGGGGTCACATATACAGGCAGTACAGCGCACACGCAAAGGATTCAAAGGCGTATGGCCTAGCAGCCAACAATTTACTTGTGGTTAAAATTGGAAATAAGAATGTTGTTTCCTATTATCTTTATATTTACTTGTTTCAGTTTAGTTAATGTTTCCTATTCTTGATTCCTGTTTGCGTTTCTAATTAATGGGTTTTTGTAATGGCTTAAATTACTTTTTGGAGAAACAATTTGTGTCTTGACGTGGTCCAACAACTCTAGCTGAGTATGATGAGGATACATCGTTTGTGATGTTTGATATTTCGGGATGAAGGGGCAGCCACTTCTTGCAGCATAGACAAAGAAGAAGAAAAGGTGGTGGAGGAGCAGCTAGGGATGGACCCGGGCTGGGCCCAGGCGGGCTTTTTTTCCAGATTGTTGGGTTCGGAACTGGCTCGAGTTGATACACAAGGGTAAGATTGTGTACATCCGACTCCCCTTACCTCACCAGAGATGGGAGCCTTTGCGGCACTGGGGTAATGATGATGATGATTTTAGAGCCCGTTTCTCTCAAATTTCACTCCAATTATTCATTTGTTTTCAAATTTCAATAAGATATATCTGAGTTCCTAGTAGTAGTTTTAGAGAACGTCAACTTTGCAATCTTTTTGCGCGAGTCCTCTTGCCATCTAAATATTTTGTCTCTTTGAAAACCTTCATTCTTTTGAGACTTCAAATTTTAGACTCTCATAAGCGGTCAATAAATCATTCTCAACTTATGAATTCAATATGTGATAATATTTCTTTTAATTTATCCTTTCAAAAGAAAGTTTACTGTTGTTATATGTGGCAATTTTATTGTTTGTCATATTTATTAGTGGAAAGAAGGCTGCCTATGAAACAACTATTAATGATTTGCTTCACATTGGTCTACGATAAACGTTTTTAAGTAATGTTTTTTTATTCAATACTTGTATTGTTGTTTTTGCCCAAATATGTAACTTATATAATAATAAAGTGATTCTTGTTTTTATTTTTGGAAGTTCATCACCCAAATATGGTTTACTGTTTGTCATGAATATAGACCCAAAATAGCGTACCACCCATAGGTCCAGAAATGGACAGGACCGTCCCTGCCGACTGCCGTGACCCTAATACCCCTTTCAACATTCACACCGTTGCTCCTACTAAGAAGACCCATTCCACACTAGTTTCTCGACCAAACCTCTGCCGAGTTACCTTAAGGTTAATATTGCTACCCTCAGTCTTACTTCTACCCTTCACCGGTTGGCAGGTCTCATTCGGGATGAGAATGACAATTCCTATGGTCATGCGACCCATCTTACCAACCAAAAGCCACATGATTCTCGCCTCATATGATGCCATTCTTTATTTTATTCAAATCCTTAAGAATGCCACTTAAACAATCTTATTTTGGAGGTGGATAACAAGGAGGTATATGAGGGCATCACGGGGATATCACTTCAACATTAGAAATTTTGGCCCCGAATACAAGATGTCAAGTACCAACTAAGAGGTTGCATTGGTCAACAACACTACTAGAAAAACCATTAATTGCTGCAGTCATTTTGAGGTATTTACTGCAGTTCTGAACCGCAACAATAGCTGGAGTAGCAAAAGTGGAAAATATCTATTTGCAAATAAGGGGTGTTTTTTTTAAATAAAAAAGAACTTATTGATGCGGACCCTCAACGATCGTAACAATTATTGTTTCAATTTTTCCAGTTGCGACAGATGCTTTACAACCCCAACATTAAGTGTTTAATAGAAATTCAATTTCCAGTCATTTACACAATATTTTCTCTAAATGGACAACTTGACAAGTTCAACACTAACATACATTCACACAAAACCTGCATTTATAACTATCCTAACATCCAAAAACAACAAAAACGTGATCGACATTCAATACCACAAAAATTATATTTTAATACATTCTTCACACAATAGAGTCCACAACAAATTGTCACAAACATATATCGCCCATCTATCCCGGATTTCATCAATTCTACCATTTAAAATGCCTCATCTCTTAAGGTACTTGTGTACACCTATAAATATTAAGCAATTGTAATTAGTACAACCACAATTTGTAATATAATTTCATAAAAATAAGATTTTCACATTTATAATCTCTTTGATGTTTACTATTTAAAATCATTTTCACTATAGTTTTTTAAATAAATTTCATCTAAAATTGAAATAATTGCAAACATTTATTGAAAAGAAAAAAGACATCATATAAAATCACCATTTTAATTAAGGAATAACATATTACAAAATAAATTCAATTAAAAGTAATTAACATGTCTCATTAATACGTATTTAAATATACCTGCTCCGGATCTTGGCCTTCAGTGATACTTCTAACCACATCATACATGAATCTCATTACATAAAATCCACATTCCAAACTGTCTGCTTGTTTTGGGCACTGAAATGTCAAATTATAGACATACATATTTGTGTATTCGTACTTTTCAATACTAACTTAAAAGAATTAAAAAATATAATAATAAAATGTATAGTGAAAGTATGTATATACTTTTACCTTCATCTGTTTCCAAATAATCTTTTTTACTTTTTCACCATTCGCGCAAATATTTCTAAAAACACTATTACGAAACATTCAAAGTTAGAACAACATAGTTTCAAAATTATAAGATATTGCAATAACAATTCTCATGTTTGTGAAAAAATACTATAAAATTACCTACTGCACAATGACATGATTAATAAATGACGCATTGGGCTGGTTCGAAGAGAATCATACATAAATAAAGATCATGCCGTGTGAGATCCAAATCAGAAGCAACATCCAATGATAACTGCAAGATTAATTAGTGGCGTATATTATGTGATAGCTAGAAAATCATATTGGTATATCATTCATATTATAAATATAATAAATCAACTTGATATAATAGATATAAATGCATAATTTTCATAATAAGGAGCAACAAGAATATCTATGCCGGCATTATGAGATTCAGTGATGGCTCGGTGTATGTAAACTTTCAAATCTTCTGGGTTATTTTCACATGCAGTTGCACAAATTGAATCAGGAAACATCCATCCAAGTTGTGCATGTGTATCCAAACCCTGTAGATAATCTTGCACTGCTCTGTAAAAAAATTGAGTTCAAATTCTAACATAAATTAAATACTATAGTAATAAGTCATACAGGTTGAAGATCATAACATCACAAATATTTGAATGATGGAAATATTAATCATTGCACCGAACAGAAACTGAGTGATGTCCTCCAAAGTAATATACACATGACCATCATCAGATTCATAATGGAATATATGAGCATCTAGTGTAACATCAATGGGATCATTGCTTGATCGAGATGCTATAATTGAGTGCAACCATTTACAATCTCTACTAAGTGACAATAGAACTTGTTCAGACACTAAAGATCGTTGTTTGGCTGGTTTTTTGATGTCTAACTTGTTCTTTCACTTTGATGATTTATTACTTGTCTCCTACATATAATAGCATTTCACATAATTAGGTCGAATATTTTATGAAGCATATTATATACACATTACACACACACACAAATACATATATACTAATATACATATATGCCAATTATTATTATTACCTCAATTATAAATTTCAACCAAGTAGCTGGCCATTGCACAAAAACTCCTTGAGCGTCACCTAATATAAACAGATTGACAGTGGGAACAGGTACATGAAGCGGTTCCAATTAATTTTTGCTCCTATGCACAAACATTTACCACACAGTTTTAATTTTATTAATCTCCGTGCCGATTTTGACAATGAACGGTACAGACAACAAGTTTTCTTATAATGTGAAAATTCTTTCAAAGAACCAAAAATATCAATAATTTTTCACAATGTACCTATTAATTTTCTTCAATGATAATAACTTCCTTAGGACGATAACCATAATTTGCTTGAGAGGCCCTAGAATTTTGTAAACATTTATCTTGTGTAATTTGAACCAGGGAAAAGTTTGTTGGGTGTGTCTCGGAAAAATGAAGAAATATTAATTAAATAAAATTAATTAATAAATAAAATAGCTAAAAGAAAACAGAAAATAGATGGAACAGAGTTTAGCCAGAGCTCGTGCTACGCACGATGTCCTTAAAACGTATTCGTCGCCTCCCACGGTGCTAGGAGCATTGCAACGACCGTTTCCCAGGATACGGTGGCTAACGAACTAACGTTTGAGCACACAAATGAGAGTTCCGGCGAACTGTAACACAGTATGAACACTTAGGAATTTTCTGAGTAGCTGGAAGTGTTTTAGAGCTCAAAAATACATGAGGAATGTATTGTGTGTTGTGTTGTTGCAAACCACCTGCCAACCATTTATAGGAGGATTTGTGGTGTGTTAATCGAGCTTTAATGGACCTGAACGTTGCACATAAATGTCCAGCACGTTGGACATTAATATGTTGAAAAACTGTCCATTTAAAGATGCATTAAAAGACAAGAATGTTGGGCATTAACTTTCGTAACGACTTAAGTATTCTGTTTCGGAAGGCAACAGAACACCTCTAAGGTCTTCTGTTCGGAGCAGTTCTGCCGGTCTAGAAAAAATTAAGGAACGTTACGGGAAGAAACAAAAGTTAGATCGTATCTTTGAATGATCGTGTCCGCAGGTCGCCCGCGCACACGAGTCGCGGTTTTTCTTCTCCGTTTCGGGATTTGCCTCAAAATGACCATTTAATGCAATTTTTAACACATTTTTCCAACAATCCCCCACATGAATGAAAATTAATTTTTGAGACTTAAAAAGACACGAAGATAGGGGTACACGTTGTGTTCATCGGATGATCCTTGAATACGGAGAGGTGGATTTTATCCTTTGAACCTTCCACTGTAAAGACACGTTTATTTACTGGGTGTCTAGTAGACTCGATGTCCCTGAAATATACCGCCGTCGTGTAAACATTGACTTATCTTTAAACAAGAACCTTCCAAGTTTGTTCCGTTCTCATGGGTGTGCCCGTTTTGGCCATGGGTCACCGTCCTGGTTCTGCAAGAGTTTCTAAAGAAGTGAGCCTTTACAGTTCTCCTTTGAAGCGACCCTCTTCT